AAAAAAAAAAAAAAAAAATACAGCCCCAAACAAAATGGTCTTTGCACCAAATTCAGGGTGGGGCCATGAATGCAGCACACGCACATGTGAACGCTAGCTTGCTATATAAGGCAAAACTGCTCTAAAAGGGACCGGTCGTCTGTCAAATCGCACATTTATTCTCACGGCGTCCCTCCACCACAATCATGCGGTTTGTGCTTTTGCCCTCACTGTGGGATAATATAATAATAATGCTTTACGAATGCACCTGCACTTAAAACAACAGCGTCAGTATGGGAGCCGTGTACAGACAAAGAAGAAAATTTCAGCTAGCGCCATAATGGGTGTCATTTCTGGCTGCACTGTAACGCAGCTACTCCGGCTAACAATACAGCTAGCCGGGCAGCCCCGGAGGCACGGGTGCTGCTGCACCTGCCAGCGCCGCAGCCCTGTGATGCGGGAACACGGGCGAGCACAGGTGAAATAACTGAAACATGATGCAGTGGAAACACCGGAGCAGTGTCATGGCAACGGTGCGGACGTTAACTCAGACAGGGGCCCCTCGATAAAGCGGCTTTTTGTCGGCGAAACACTTGGGAGATGAACGAAATGGCGCCAGTGGCTTTGACTTAAAAAAAAAAAAATCGTTAGTGATTAACCTAGTCTGTTATCTCCATCGTGTGAAAATTGCCGCTCGGAAAGTTCACTGAATGCGAACACTGAAAGACTACACTGCGTTACGGCATTATTAGCCATCCAGTTTCCTAGTCAGCTCCCCAGCCTAGCCAAGCGCTAGCACAGGCTCCTGCGGCATACAGCCGGCTCGAGTGACGCTAAAACACTTACAAATTAAACCCAGTTAAAATTCCCCGCGGGCTTAAACTGAGTCATTATTAGGCAGAAAAGCCATCGAGAATGCATAAAAAACACAAAAGTACGAAAAGGCTGTGTTAAACCTACCATAGCTGTAGCTCTGGATTCGTCTGCGTCTCGTAGAAATTGAAAAGGCGATTGAATCGTCGCTCTTGCTCACAAACACTGGATGCGAAGCGTGAACGCGCCCTTAAGCGCGGCCCCGGTTAGACCAAAGTGCACGAGCGGGAGTGAATGTCTGTTAACCGCGGTAGTCCGGCTGTTGTGCCTACTGGTCATTAACAAACATGACGATAACACAGAGAGGGCCTCGAATCTAATCCACGCAAAATGAAACCAGGCACTAAGTGGCGCCTGGTTTAATTGTCAACTCATTTTTAAATATATAATATTTTTAAATATATAATATGTATCGTTTCACAATTTTCCCATTGCCATCTGATATATGTATATTTCATTAGGGTGGTGGCGGCAAGTGTACGTGAACAAATCAAACATACCAAACCGATAACAGAGTGCATTATGGGAATATGTGTTTTTCTTAAAATGTGAAAAAACCTACAAATCTCGGCAAGTGAGACCTATTTAACCTTCAGTGGCACTTAATGATGAGTAAAATTAGCACGACTGCAGCGTTTATTCCAGTTGCCATTTTTAACTGCCCTTTAAAAGCCGTAATAATTATTACATAAACCGCGTGAGGGGTGTTTGATAGTTGAGACCAGTCTGTCGCTGTTTAATGACCGACATTCATCTCCCAGCCGGACGCGGAGCGGGTTTCCAGAGTGGGAGGAAAATCTTCATCATCCATCCTCTCTCCTCTCCTCTCCCCTGCCCTCCCCTCCTTGCGGTTTTTGTCGAACTCACTTCCAAATATGGAAGCGAACGGTGAGCGGCGGCGGCGGCGGTTAGTGCACGCGCCTCGCTCACAGTTTCAGGGAGGGGCCAGGCTGCGACGCTCATCACCATATAAGGAAACAAGGGACCCGAAATTCGCTGTAGCGGAGTTTTTGTACGGACGGCGTCGGCACGCAGTCAGGGAGAGAGGAAAGGACGAGGGGCAGATGTTCAGGCAGAACGAAGCCAGCGTGGAAAATGAATGACGAGAATGTCACGTGAGGCGGATAGCAGAGTCCGTGCATGTATACAGGGTGTGAAATGAAGCAAAAATTTCAGTTCGTGCACGCAGACTTATGCGGAATATGGGTCGAGTTACGGCGATGCTATGTAAACACGCTGCTTGCAAACTGACCTACATTCATTACGCGGAATAAAAACAAAGATGGTGTCATGACCATTCATTGTTTAAAAAAAGAACAACACTATATATACATTAAAGACTACAAGAGAGGGCAGCAAAGAGGTGGACAGTGTTTCCTTTATCGCTGTGGATCTAAGTCATTAAACTGAAACACATGTCAACAAAGCTGTCCTTTCTTATGGCTTGTATACATCCCGAGTTCCCTCACTGGTGGGTTAATGCTTTCTATGAACATATAAAAGGAGAAGTAAGGCTTTCACTTATTCAAAAGGATTATATTGCCTATAATTTTAGGCATCTCTTTTACTGCCAGCTGGGAATGGCTCCAGGAGGAGAATTTGATATATTTTAAATACAACATAATTATTCTCATGTGATGTTAAAGTGCTACAGAAATGAGTGGCCATTAGTGGAATATCTTTCCCTTTATGTGGGGAGTAAAACTCTTGAAAGGATTAAGAATTTTTATCTTATCTGCAAGTAAAACTTACTATAAAATCCCTGCTTTCTAAGGGCCTAGACCAGGGATGTCAAACTTTTACATTATGGGCCATATTTCAAGTGGGCCAGACCATCTAAACTCCCCTTTCTGTCAGTGTAAAGAATTTCAACTACACATTAGAGTACTGTTTTTAGTAGTTAGTTCAAATTAATGAAATAAATCTGACAGTGGGACTTTTTGGACTTAATTTGTAAGAAATAAATGTGTAAAATTACAAACAAACAAACTGTTGCCTCATTGCCTAGACTGTCCTGTAATAAACAAATTCGGGTACAAGTTAATCTTGGTTTTATCTGCCCATGCGTTTCCTGGTACATTGTTCCAAAACCTCTGCATTTCCATTCATGAAGGTGTGGCTTGAATTTAGACCTTGACAATGATACACTTACCTGCTTGAGAGCGTTCCTGACTTGGTTTGATGGTATGAAGGTGTTTTTCTGAAGCATGGAAACAATTCTGTCATCATGCACTTAAATTTTCTTGTGTGGTCTTTCCAGCCTCCTTCACCTGTACTGACATCTCCTTGGTCCCCATATTTAAAATTAAAGCCAAAGCTGTAAAATATAAATTTCACACACTGAATCAGGTTCACACAATGTTTGCTTCATTTGTGATGAAATAAGAGGGACCAGGTTTAACCTGGCCATGAAAATAATTGTCAGTCAACTGTCCAATTAATTGTTATCCTCAAATTTGGGAAAACGGGGGACTGTGTATAAAAAAGTATTGTAATTTCTAACCAGTTAATGCAACACTTCAGATAAATATCTTGAATTAAAGTCTAAAATCCAATCCCATATTGATTGATTTAAAATCCACTGTGGTGGGGTACAGAGGGGAAACTATAAAAAATACAGTTAGTTTGTTGGACAAAGATGCAACACATATTAATGGAGACAGCTACAATAACTCATACAGTAGCCTACAATTTATTATTGTTCATATTGTAGCTACATACCTACCACATAGTACCCACTTTGTATTACTAGTACATATACTTTACACGCTACATGACATACTGTATTGACTCATTGTTTATGTGCATTACTCGTTCATTGGACTGAATATTACATAATGTAAACTGCTTGATTATTTGTACTGTAAACACACATGTATCCTGTACTATTACACTTTCTCTTTATCAGTGTTTTGCTCATTTGTGCAATAATCCGTGTTTAGAAGACCTACATTCACTTGAGTACTGCTTGCACTATGTAGTTTTATGAACAGCATTTTGCTAGGCTCTCGCTGCACGATGACAACAGAGTTTAATGTGATTTAATCTAATCCAATATCATTCAAACGCAATCTATGGCAATCAATTCTTTGGCTGCGCAGTTACATCAAATGCAATGGCGATGTAAGAGCTTTGCATAAGTAGTATTTTTGTAACTGTGCTGATTTGCTTATTCACAGAGGCAAGCCTGCTGGTGGAAACGGCAGAGAAATGAACAGACCAGAAACGCTGGATCAACAGTTTGAGGCTCCTGTTTATTCTTTATAAAACAGCACTTCTCAAGTTAAAGCCACCATGCACCTGCAAGAGATGACTGCATTAGCTGGGACTACTTGCATGCATTTGCTCGCCTTTGGAACAAGCTGTGTACAAAAAGCACCAAAGAAGAGGGGAAGTGCAATAATAACTGCTTTTTTAAAACAATTTAAACAGTTCCCTCCTCTTGTGGAAAGAGACAGAAATGGAAAGTGCAAAATGATGGTCAAAAACCACAAATATTCAATTTGGAAATTTTTGGCCCTTTACTATGTGGATTTGTATCATTAAGAGTAATATGGTATCACTGTGAGAATAAAGCATCACTGTACAGCTTTTTGGGGATTTTTTTTTTTTTTTTTGGAATAGTTATTAAAGTGCATACTGCTGCATAGTTACAGGAGCCATCTTCATGTTATCATGCACGTTATCATATTTAGAGATGTAGGGCATAGCTACAAGTAATCATCGTCCTTTAATCCACTACCTGATTTACTCTGAGCTGGCTGGAGCAGCCCCTGCTTGGCCCCACAAAGTCAAACTAAAATATAATAAATCCACTGAGTGGTCCAGCTTTTTATTTCTCAGTACAACTTGCTGATTTGCTAAAGATTAAATGGTTAACTTGCTGCATGCAAACAAGAATGTAAGAATCAAGATCATATTGATTATTTTTCTTTCGCAGTAAAAGTCAGTCATATGAAATGGTAGTTTTGAGCTGAACTGGGAGCCAGATAAATCCAAGTTTTACCTCACACAGCTTAACAAATATTTAAACAGTCTTTTTATAGAGCAAATTAATGTGAAGCAGTTTAAACATTAATTTAACTTACAGCTATTTTACCAGTGGGGCTTTTGAATAAGGTGGGGTGTCACAATGTTATTTCTCTGCTGACAGTATAGACCATTACCCGTCACTTAAAACATCACAAGATCATTTGAGGGGAAAGCATGACTAACAATATCATATGTTACATGATAATAATCCGTCTAAGTGTTGCAGCCCTCGGAAAAATGAAACACTTGTACAAAAATTCAGGATGACAGCTGTGCTACAATTTTCTGCTCATTTCTCCTGCTTTTTTGTTCTATTCATACATTTTGCTTGCCATTAGTTTCACGTATGTCTCCAATTAAATTACTAGCATGTTTAAATGTCTTTAAAGAGACAGAATTATCTTGTTTATGCTGTGGACTGTATTATCGCTTAAACTGATTTTTGACATGATTAAAATTTTACACTAGCGCTCACAACATAATGAAAGCAGTTTATTTGGTCAATCAACACTTATCAGCGTTCTAATACTGTCTTTCCTTTGGAATTTTTTATGGAGTATATATATATATTCCATATGGTCTATTATTTAGTACTCAGATCAACAAAGTATAGCATATTTCCATAAAAGAACAAACAAGTGAATCTCCCATTACATACAGCCTCCATGCTGTGCTGTGTAGAGCAAAAAACTGTTTACTCTCCCCTCAAAGCCTCCCAAGAAATGCTAGTTCATGTTAAAATATGAAGCCAATCTACAAACAAGCTGGAATGTTTTAAAGTCAATGAGTGAAAACAAAGAAAACCTCCCAGGAACCTGAATAAATGTATACGCTTTAAAGCTAGCATTTTAGGAAACTATTTAAAGACACACTGCAGAAACCCTGTCTTAGCAACATACGGCCAACGAAGATGCATTAAGCTTGAAGTAGAAAATAAAAGTGTTTTTAGGTTTAAGGTAAACTTTGACTTGTCTATTAAGACCAATTGTAAACTTGTAAAGTGATGGCAGTGTCAATTTAAGACATAAAATACAGTTTACGTCCCTGCCTTAGAGAATAACAGAACCGTTGAGAGGCAGAATATTGTGCATAATAGAGATGCTGGTGAAGTGGCATCATCTCGCTACCCCGTGTCAGTGTTGTTGAGTTTGGGTGGCATGATAAGGCTTTGGGTGCTGACTGTGTGTTTGCTGTGGGCGCCGTTTGCTTTGCATTATGAAGAGAGTGTGGCGGTCTTTTAACGGGTTTTCTTGTGCTCCACCATGCTTGTCCCTCTCGACTTGTTCAGCATCACAGTGGCCTGAAAGGAGAAATAACAGGAGAGAGAGAGAGAGAGCTGATGTGAGTGCTTGCAGTGTTCGCTGACTTCAGTTCTGGTTGCTGTATCCATCACCGTTTTTAAACTCTGCCAGCGATGGCACGGTCGAGGAACTTGTAAGGAAAGTGAACTCAAGATTCAAGAATGGACTTCAGATAGCCTCTGAGGGCTGGAACACTTTCATTTTCTGTTTCAGTCCTTTTTCATGTTGGATACATACATCATACATTTTTATTTCTATCTGTTCTTAATAATCACCATTGTTCAACAAAAAATATTTGTGAAAGCATTACAATAATCCACAAAGAGCACCATCAAACTGGCCTTCAGTATTTCATTGTTGAGGCTTCGTGGGTCACACATTTATTGCATGGTCATGGTTCAGTCTCACCTCTCTTATCAGCTCAGTTACAAGAAGTAACAGTCGAGCCACTTTCAGAAAACAAGCCCTGATAAGTCTGCTGTATGTAGGCCATCAAGCTCCAACACAGTCTGCAAATAACTGGTAAAAACTGGCATGTGTTATACAGTTGGACCACAATGTGATAACAAATATACTCCTTCAGCTTCAGCTGCTCGTCAGATGGCTCAGCAGCTTCAGACATGTCCTCCCCACACAGCAGCTCAGTGTTGGACTGCTCCAAGATGAGCTCTATAGACTCTATCAGCTCAGGCCCAGCCACACCCAAACACACAGACAAATTAACCGTGTACACTTATATAAACAAACATGCAGGCCAATCTCTCACACTCACACAGCACACACACACACACACACACAACCACACACACACACACACAAAACACACACACAGAAACACACACACACACACCACACACACACACACACACACCCCCTCTAGAGTGCGGGTGAACGGATGCACCCTCTGAAACAACATCCCACCCCTACACCGGGTAGGGTGCAGGAAACAGGGGTGTAGCACCCCGTCCACTCCCCTCCCCCATTGGTGTCCCCAGTGTTAGACTTTCTGACATTCATGTCCACGTCATGCTGGTCTGCTGTGGTAAAGGCGTGAACGCAGCGCTGTCCATAGACTAGTAGATCTAACTCACCTATGGCCATGAGGGTAGGGACGGAAAGAATGAGATCACAGATATGAGCAGCGGAAATTGGCTTCCTCTGGAGCAGGGGTATCAACATAAGGCCTGGGGGCCAGAACTGGGCAGGCTCTCATGTCTAGCCCACTGATGGCTTTGAAACAACTAAAGGATAGCATTAATTTTCATAAATTTCGCAGCTTTTCCAACTGATAAGGGACCTTCCCCACTGCCATGTCTGGGCAGAGAGCTACTAGAACTTTTGTAATTTTACAGATTACATGTGTACATATAGTTACACACGTAATCTGTAAATATACATTTTTATTTATTCATACTGACAGATTACGTTCATTTACTGCAGCAGCAATTTCGGGTATCTGACTAGGATGCACCCCAGGTGAGGTATTCTGAAAGGAGACCATGTAGCTGACCTAGGATGACCTATAAAAAAAATTGGCTCGAAGTCCCTCAGAAGAGCCACAGGCGAGAGTCCAGTGGGCTGGATATCCACTTCATGCTGCCACCAGCCAGGTGAATGAAGGCAAGGAAATGGGAAGGGTTTAAATTTCTCCTCTCACAATTCCTGCCTGGTGAACAACCAAAGCCAACGATGTTAATGTCTTCGTGGAGAAACCAGAAAACACATGCAGCTATCTCCATAGGTCAGTCACATTTGTGTGCAGTTTGTATCAACTACAAACAATTTTGCTTTCTCACGTGGTTAAAAATAAGAAATAGTAATTTTTTTCTAATTTATCAGCCTTAAGTTAAGAAATTTGACCACAGAAGAAGTTTAGAGGGCAAGGAAAAAAATTCACAGCTTTTTGGTGATTATCAAGTAATGAATCAGAGTCGTTTAAACACAGTTTAACAACTTCAGGCGGTCAGCTTTCTAGCAGCCCACATAATTAACCTGTGTGGTCCCATATTCTTTTTGAAGGAATTTATAATTTTTGTACAAAAAATTATGCCTGATGTTTCTGATTCTGTCATTTTTTTAAATGCATTGAATGTTTTTCCTTTCTTCACCACCTCTTTATCGATTTTCTGATTAAAATCAATTCTCGCTTGAATAACATGATATCGATTTATTAAAATCCAACTTTTAAATATAAATTTATTTTGCCAGAAACACCAGAATCTCAGGTTAAACCTCACAAAATCTCAACAACCACCAAACAACTTAAACAGTAAATGAGAGCAGGTACAAGGATTCTGCACAAAGACGTAAACACAAAGCGCGGACCCACCGATGCATCAGAATCAGTGAGATGTGGCTTTCTCACCTGACGGCACGGACACGCCGCTGGGGCTGAAAGCCGACTGCTCACGGATTCTGATGCGTTGGCGGGTCTGCACTTCGTGTTTACCATTTTTTCGCGCTAGATTCTGAAGCTGCAGGTTGTCTCAAAACCAGCAGCAAAAGAAGACCTAAACTAAGCTTCACATTTCGCTTCACATAAACATCGTCATGAATTCCCTCTTACTTTTGCTTCCACCATGATAAAAATCACACTTCCTGCACAGCTCTCTCTTTCTCTCTCTCAGTGTTCTTCAGGAACAGTTTCCCATCTAAAAATCTGTTTTCTGCATTATTCACTTGCTTATTACGCACCAGTCTACTGTTGTTTACAGCACTGTCGCTGTTTGTTTGTTTGTTTTAATTTAAATGATTTCCAACAAGAAAGCCTAATTTCTGCTGTTCAATACTGAAGAAAGTTAAACTTTTTAAAGTTATGCGAAATTGCAAAATACTTAGCTGAGTCTCTAATTAAACCTCTGCAAACCTTTGCTCTGCTTCACTTCAGCAGCATCAGGTAATGTTTATGTGTTGATTCATGGTTTTCTTCCGTTTTTGTTCTACTGCCGAATATTTTTACGGTGGTAAAAAGCCAGGCAAGGAAAATCCCCTTTGGGGTTGTGTCAGGAAGGGTCTCCAGCATAAAAACCTGACAAATCAAACATGCAGCGCTACCCGTACAGACCCCCTTGTTAATAAGCAAACAGCTGAAAGTAACTTCTACTTTTACAGGCATTTCAAACTTTCAGACTTCACGTTACCAACACTTTCCAAGATCAGCTTAGTGAGGGAGCTCCACTTAGTGTCCTCGTTGCTAAAGTTTTTCAAGTTTACTCTGAAAAGGTTTGAACGCACTTTATTCAGGCTCAGGAAAACTCCTCGGGCACAACTGCTTTAACTAGTTTGTGAACTTTCCCCAGATCCCTGAAGCATTTAAGCTTAACATAGGACAAAGCTATCTGCTCAGACACTTAAACCTCTAAACTAGCACTAAAGTGGAAATTCACACTAGAGAACCAGACTTTTTATTTTTAATCCTGGTGGTTTTGTTGCTCTCTACAACAAGCGCTCCCTCTAGTGGCTGTAACTGGTGCATTACACTAAAACAGAATCCAGCAATGAAAGCTTTGAGACACAAATGCCTCTCTTCCTTTATTCTCACCTGCTCCAGAACGACGCCGGCAGCCTGGTCGATGGCTCCTCCCACATTTCGGTACCGACCCGAGTAGCGGATAAAGGCCCACGTCAGCATGGCCACCATGACCGCACCAAGAGTGCAGTCGCAAAACATGGCGAAGGTGGACAGGCCGATAAAAAGAAGCAAACCAGAGAGCACGTAGAGGAGGCACACCAGGACAAAGAGCACAGCAGGAGTCCGGAAGGCGCTGAAGAGGTTTTTGGACTTTGAATACAAAGAGAAAGAGCAAGTGATCAGGAACAAAACTGAAATTAAATCATGTTTGACCACGTTTTACCTTCATTAATTGATTTTTATACTTAGATAATAAAAGAGGGTAAAACAAACCACTCTTTACCTCGTTGTGCTTCAGGTATGACTCCCACATTTCCAATAGCTCCTTTTCCAGTTTCACCTGGTAACGGTTACAAAACTCCTGCCCGCCCATCTTCTTGGTGGATGCAAAGACGTGAAGAGCCTCCCGGAAGAAAAACTGATGTTTCTCTTCCAGGGAATCTGGAGAAACATAAGGCAGGTCTCCTCCACACACCTTAGTAAAAGCACAGAATCATAAAGAGGGAGGGTGTTTCAAATTCAACATTACAGATGATATATGTAACCCCCTTTACTCTGTAGATTACTGAGGCAACAAGCACTTTAAAGTAGTGACTAATGGGAATGATAATAATCAGGGATCACCACAGAGATTAACATGAACTCACCTTCTCCATGTTCCTGTAATACTGGTCTTTGGCTGACGCCACAGCTGCCAAGTTATTGGCCTCTGCTGTGGCCTGGTGAGACAGACACACACATGGTAAAGATGATAAAGAGTGACATACTCAAGAGCAACACTAAGTGCCTGGTCAAACTGGCGTAAACAGTATACGTACCATGAGCATAGTCTTTGGCTGCGGTAGGTCTTCTCCCTGATAAATCTTGATATAAACCTTGTGACACAAAACAGAAAGGACTGTTCAGACACACTTTTGGAAAACTGAGTAGAGAAATCCATGACAGCAGCTGTCTAGAGAGACAATCATCTACTTTGTAAGAGCTTACCCAGGAACCATATAATCCACTCACACACACACACACACACACACACATCTGTTCCACAGATACCGGCAAGATGGAGGTACACTTTTTCTTCTTCTTAACATAATATAACCATAACTTGAAATAGATTAGACCTTCTTTTGTGCCTGTGAGATGAGCCACAGATGCTGACCGTGTTGGTGTAAATGTAACATACAAGGAAAAAGTTTAATAAAACTTAATTTGAGCTTTTTTAAATATCCCGGTGGCTCTTGAAATCACAATTATGGTTTTCTCCCCCCAGTGGGGACAGGCTCCAGCACCCTCGCAACCCTGAACTGGGTAACTGGAATAAGATGGGTGGGTGGACTTCCTTACTACTTACTTCCTTACATACTTGATCTTGGTAGCTTGAAACCTGTCCAGAGCCATTGTTGAGATTCCTGCTAACTGGCAAGACATGTTTCTATTTCTACAACTGCAAAGCAGAAGGAAAGTTTCTAGAAGTAGACGAGCTGTTTGAACCGTAAAATCATAGACTAATATTTAGTTACAAAAAACATGAGGATTTTGTGCCTTTCCACTGTGATCTATAAACAGTAATAGACACAGGATGGCAGTAGACTCAAAACATCTGGCAAATTTCAAAGGAAGTGGGCTAAGGCATGTTTTCCATTCCCCCCATTGTTTCTTTTTTAAACCCTGTCTCTAGCTCAGGTGAACAGCTTCAAAATGAGTTTCTTTATACTCAGAGAAAGAGAAAACTTCAGAGCAGGTAAAGTAAAGCAAATATTTAACATTTCTAGCCAATGAACTAAAAAAGGGGCCTGTAAATATCTGATTGTGATCTCACCTTGAAAAACTCGAGCAGGCCGCTGCATGTGACTTTGTTTCCATTTATTTCTTTCTCCACCAGACGGTCTGGATGCAGCAGTTTGGGAATCAAAATCTTCAGCTGGTCTCTGAACTCAGGACCAACATCTGACAATAAATAACAATAAATTAAAAACAAAAATCTAAACTCAGGAGTGCACTCTGCTGAAGGCCATCCAACTAAAAATACCACAAAAACCCGAGGACCTTACCGCAGAGCTGTCCCTTAAAGGCAGGACTGGTGGCAACTTTTAAACCAGGGTGAGGTAAGAGGAAGCAGGATATGCTGGTGAAGCATGAACGAATGTGCTCCCTGACTGTTTGCAGCTCCTCGTGTTGAGCCTCCTTAACCTAAAAAAAAACAACCAACCAAGCAAACAAAGAAATAAAAAACAAACAAACAAGCACTGCTGAAACTCATCATTTCAGATCAGTTACATAAAAATTCACAGCCACAGTGCATTCATGATACTCTGCCAAATCATCAACACGTGGCTGGTACCTGTAACCGTTTATCCAGGAATTGATTCCCGCCTTTGAACCCGTAGCTGTACTCGTAGGGAAAGCTCCAGTCCCTGATCAGAAACATCAAAGACTGCAGGAGGAGAGAGAACGTGTTAGAGAACAAGAGAACAAAAATAACCCCCACAGATCACTGAATGTCGTTGTTTCTCATACCTGAAAGGGCTTCTGAAAGATCTCATCCATGGCGAGACGACCATACTCTGTGAACAGCTACAAGGAGAAAGAGGAGGAGGCGATGCCCATAATGGAAAATTAACAGTGAAATTAAAAAATGTGGCACGTGACTTATGTTAGGCAGTGAAATTACTTCCATTAGATGCAGAAAAACTTCAAGTATGAAATAAAACGCATGAGCATAACAGAGTACACCAAACAAAACTGTTTAAAAGTCGATTCCTTAAAGTAGCTGCTGTGAATGAATGAATACAATATCAGAGCCAGCACCACGAGGAAAGTATTATGTGTGAGAGTCTAAGTCTAAATAGTAACTAGATTTAATCGTTTGGAGCTTAAAATCTTTGGTGGGATTTTCCAAACACCAATCCAAACTGACCTGCAACTGCTGCAGGTCGTCCTCCTGGATGTTCTGTGAGAGATTGTAGAGCTAAACAAGACAAAAACATGTTGGCACACTTTACAACAGTATCAAGAAAATACTGATTTAGTGATGCTCGGAGCAGATGGTCACCTGTATGGAGCTGGTCATAGTGCTGAGGGCAAAGATGGTGGCACAGTCCTTCACAGTGGACTGGTCGTCAAACGCTCCCTGAGTGTCCATCAACACCACAGCCACCTGCAGCAGCAGAGAGGGAGAAGATGGGGTAAATGTAGGAATCACGTGCTATGACATGTGCTCAGATTTCAGATTTTAGACTGGCTCCAGTTTCGCTCTGAAACCTCAACAAGCTCAGTGCAGTGGCATATGAAGCAGTTCTCCACCAGCTGCTGGTACAGCTTGCAGCGGTTCAGAGAGCAGAACTACCATCGTAGTTCAAGACAGTGGCGTTAGAGGGCATCTGACTGCAAGATAAGAGACTCTGCATGATATTGAGGACCTGGGCAGTGAGCCAGACAGGAGTGAAACATAGAATGAAAAGGTTTTGGACAAGCTAGTTAGCAGTAATAATAATTTACAAATAATATTGAGGGGATCTTTCACAGTAACCTGACCAAATATGGCGATGGATGAGAAATTAGACATAAAAAAAAATTTCTAAAACAGGTTTGACAAATATACTTTAACATTCCTTAGTGGACCTAGGCAGCTTGGCAAAGTTAACTCTATGTGAGCGAAACACTAAATACAAGGAGGCACAATACTCCAAACAGTAATGTGTATTAATGAGTCACTGCATCTGAACCACTGCCCAACCTTGCTTTCATTCATTCAACTTTTATACTGATCTGAGGTGTGGCAGAGAAACTGAAATATGCAGAACATGCATGCAGAAATGAGGAATGCAAGGAATTTAGAAACAAAACATGATTATAGACTCTATAATGATTATAGACATATAGAGCTTACAGATGGCTGACCTCTAACCTTGAGGTCAAGGTCATCAAGGTTGTGATTGGGTATAAAAAGTCCATCTTAGCTGCTTTCAGAAAAAGCAGCTAAAGACGCCTGTAGGCAGATGAACCGCTTGGTCTAAATTTAGAAGATTGTTTTTAAACTTTGCTGGAGGCTGACAGAAACCAGCTCATCTCTTTGTAGCAGTGACATTTGCAGCATGCAGGGATCTGTCCACTGCACTTATAAACCTTTGTTATATAAAATACAAACCTACAAAATGTGCTTTATTCTTATACAGCTAGAGTAATAAAGTCATAAGCACAGACTAAAGGTTAGAGGAAAGGCTGAGACCAGAAATTACTGTGGCACTGAAAATCTAAAACAATGAATGAACATCAACTCAATATTTCAATATGAATTCCATTAGTAAATCTGAGTGCTTACATGTTTACTCTCTTAAAACAAATAATCACACATAAATGTTCAAGTACCTCTTCACCATCGCTCTTTTGGACAAGGAAAACTTCGCTCCACAGCTGGATGCCTGATGTTTCCGGTTCTGACCCTCCTCTCCAAGAAAACCCGGTCAGAGGCTCGTCATCGTTACCCATCCATTTCTCCTCGTCCTGATACAGAAATGCAAACTTCACTTTTAAACCCCCATCACAGCAGAGCCGAGGCCTTCAGGTAAAGCTTCGGTGCTATTCACTCAGCCATAACCTAAATTATGAATGGAGATCCCAATTGTTTTGAATAATTTACATAACAAATAAGTACCCAGTGGAGTGTAAAGTGTTCAGTGACTGAAAGATGTCATATTAGTCATGTTGTGAGGCCAGACAGTGGCACTATGGTAAAAGTAATGAATAAAAGTAATAAAGTTAAGAGAGGGCATTCACAGACTCTAGTCCTTAGTGGTCATGGCAAAATTCTCATTTACTCCTAGTCAGTAAACTAGTTAGTTCACATGTTAGTTAGTCCTCATGCAATCCACACACCAGGACTAATTCTGCAGGTTATCACACCTTGAGGACAAAAATCAGTCTCTAGCATCCTGCTCTGAAGCTTAGTGAGAGTCCAGCATCTGATACTGTAAGTGCACTTCAGCTGATCTCTGAAGTGAACTTCAGCTGATCTCTGAAGTGAACTTCAGCTGATCTTACAGAGATATGGTGATGAGACATGCTGAAGGATCAGGTTACAGCACAACTCACCTGTCTGTGCATGTATCGAAGCATGAAGTCGAGCACAAAGCTCTTCCCCTTCCTGAAGGCTCCGGCCACTGACACCACCACCACACGTTTGTCTCGGACCTTGGGGTTCAGCAGGATCTGACTCAAAGCATTGATCTCCAAGGTGAAAGAGTGATCGTCCTTACAGACATTGACAATCTGAACTGGGCCTGGTTCGCTCCCCATTATTCTTGATGTTCTGGTCCCTGTGCGAGATCACAAACAAAAAAACACCAAAATAAAATCAACACTAATTATTTATTTTTTTATAATTGAATGTTTTTCTTTTTTTCTTGAAAAAAGAAAAAACAAGTTGCCATTCTCGAACAGTAAATCAGAGAAAAACTCATGAAGCAACAGATGAAATTCACCTGTGACACTGCCACATGCAATATGGCACGATATACTCCAACATATTGGGCAATAGATTGGTGCATCTTAGCTGAACATTATTATATAGCAACAATCATACTACTTGGAACATTAAATTGTTCTTGGTATTTCAGAAACTGCTGATCTACTGGGATTTTCCCACATAACCATCTGTAGGGTTTGCAGAAGATGATATGAAGGATCTTCAGGAAAAAGAGAAACTATTCAGTAAGCAGCAATGTGCTTGGTGAGGCTGGAGCAGAAAAACAAGACTGTCTGGAGATGACAGGAAGACATTAGTAATAGGCATTTGTTACGATAAAGGTATGCAGAGGAGCATCTATAAATTTATCTTGTCAGCCTGCCATCACCCCAACCGGTTGCGGCAGATAAATAGGAAACAGGGGCTACAATTCACAGAGGCTCAAGAATCTTGCCGGGGCTGATGACGAGTCTCGGTTTCTGCAGCAAAATTTGGATGGAAGGATCAGAATTTGGCATAAACACCAATAAAGCACAGATCCATTAACAGTTCCGGCTAGTGGCAGTGATGTAATGTTGTGGGGGATATCTTCTTGGCATAGTCTCCCCTCGTTAGGGCCAGCTAAGCACTGTTTAAATGCCACAGCCTTCCTGAGTGTTGTTGCTGACTATGTCCCTCCCTTTATGACCACAGTGCAGTGCATCTTCTGATGGCCACCTCCAGCAGGATAATGCAGCATGTCACAATGCTCAAATGATCTCAAAGAAGTTTTCTGAACATGACAATGAGTCCATATTTGGCCTCTACACCATATTGAAGCCAACAGAGCACCTTTAGGATGAAACAAGACATTTGCATTATGGATGTGCAGCCAACAAATCTGCAGTAACCGTGTGATGCCATCATGTCAACATGGACCAAAATCTCTGAGGAATGTTTCGAGCACCTTGATATGCCACGAAGATTTAAGACAGCTCTGAGACCAAAAAGTAGGTCCAACTCAGTAATAAAATGGTCAGTGAGGGTAGTAATAAACTGATTTTTAAATTCTGGGCCTCTGTATGTTTTTTGTTTTGTTTTTTAATCTTCTCCTTTTTGACAGGAAAGTGGTTCAATTGTCTTTACAAATAAATAATACCTCAACTGTATTAAAGCCTTTCAGTTCTTTGTTGCACTCGTCTTGTAGATTTTGCCCACAAAAACCTGATATACCGAGTTACAAAATCAGCCAACATATTTGTGCAATGCTGATACAATCCTATGACATTTGTGCTAACAAGCTAGAGAAGCTAACGAGAAAATATCTCCTATGTCTGCCTATCACCAGAAAAGAAATCGTTCAAAAATGTGTTCAAGTTGGTCACGAGAAAACTATTAGGAAATAGATATAATTATGATGACAACAGACTTCTCCAGCTTCACTAAGACTTTACTTATGCTTCCTGGGCTTGCTGACAGAAATCAGGCATGCACTGGTCCCTCCATCAGGGACAATATCAGGCTCTGTGTGAAGCTGACGGGGGGCTCCTCTTATGGGTGTCACGCTGCTTTGCCTGAAGCATGCTTTCAATACACTCCACTGTCGCTGATTTTGCGGGGTGGATGTCTTCTCCCGCGATGAGTAAGACAGGGAGGTGTCTGGATACAAGTTCATAATGCCCAGAAAGCAGGCTGCTTTCGGTTAAAGCTCACTACCTCAAAGGTGTGGCGGTGAGGAGCAGCATACCAACCATTTCTCAGCAGTGACTTTGTTCATACGCCTCGATGCTAACAAGCAGAAAAAAATATGCAGTTCAGACAAAATCTGCTTGCACTTTGCAATCTAAACACGAGATAAACTAGGTTTACGAGACTGATCTATGATGAAGCTACATGATATTAGCGCTAAACTGACAGCACTGCGAAGAGCACAGCTAAGCCGAACTGTACTGACATCGACGTGAACTTCACCGAAAAGCTAAATAACAAACTACAGCTCACAACCACTGAGCTAACATACAAGTTAACGGATGCAGCTAAATTCTTGTGTGGCTACAAGCTTTCAAACACCAGCAAAACGATGACATACGTTACCGTTGTTAGCTAAAAAAGTGTTAAAACATCTGAAACTAGCTTTTAAAAACGCTTCTGCGTTCCTTAGCTCCTGTTTAGTGATTTAATGTTACCTTTGGTGTCTCCAAACAGCTTCAGCACAGTCTTCTGAGAGTCGCCAAACCAGAGAAACGTAACTTTTTACACTGGCATGAAAATAACCATGAGAACTTTTTTCCATCAACAAACTTCCACACACTTCCTGCCTCCAGCCTGCGAAACGCCACACGGGAAATGTAGTTTTAAAACAGGTTTCCCTGCCGGCGCTCCAGTGTCTCTGTGAACTACACGTCCCAATCAGCCAAATATCCAACAGCTCTGGGAAATGTAGTTTTTACCGTCAAGTTACGAATACGGAACTACCAGACAGGTAATGTAAAACAGTGCCGGGTGTTTTGCGTTTATACAAATGATAGCCTAAGGATTTGCGCAGAGGAAACCGAACATACATAGCAGGTTTACAAAGGGGTTTGTTTTGTTTTGTTTGCGTTGTTTTTCATTGTCATATATGTGTGTCTGCGTTAAGTAAGCCGTGGCTTTTGCGCCCTCTCACGGTGCAGCCGATCACTGTTTCTAAAGCCACCAGATAAAGCTCATCACACAGAGACACCGAAACTTATTCAGCAGCATTTTAAAGCAAACCTGAAGCCGATAGACTCAGAAAATAAACATTTAGAGATAACAAGATTATTATTTTTAAACAAACAGTCAAACTAACTAGAAAAGAAACAAAAACCAACCACAACGACATACAGAGGGAATCGTTCCTTCCTCATACCTGTAGTTACTTTGTTTTTTACTTGCCAAGCTGCCTACTGATTTATAATCACATTTGTATTCACTGGGCTCTTTTATTTTAATTCTCCTGTTTATTCTATTTATGGATTTTTCTAGCTATTAACCCATAGCCCATTTGGGCTTTAAAATATGGACTATTGGACCCTTTATGTTATAATTTTCAGTTAAAAACAAATATTGAACTTTTAAAAAATTCGATTTGTACAGTTCAGGCATCAAAAGTGTTTCAGTCGTGGATGCTTGTGCATCTCACCAATACCCGAAGTAGACAATTTAATAAATGATACCATACTTCATTACTAAATACTTATTCAGTTTTCGATAAAACGTAATTTATATCAATTTAAGAAAATTTTGAAATCTAACTTTTCAAGAGTCGCACGTTTTCGTCAGTAATTTCTGTATTTATTTTAAAATCTTTGCTCAAATACAATCTTTTATATAATAATTCAAGCTATTACAAAGGCAATAGTGGTAGTATTAGTGTTTTCTCAGAAAAAAACCCCAGATGGCATGTAATGGACTGAAAGTCCATTACATTAAAAATAAAGGAACCTTTCATTTGTCCTCTTCTGGTAAATTGGGTAACATGGTTGCATTAGTTACAGTGACACATTCAATCTAATCAGAAAAGTCAAGAAAAATGCAAAAATGTCAAAGAGAAGTGACCTTTGGTCTACCCATGATGTTCATGCCACTTCCTCTTTGCCATGCCGGCTCACTGTTTTATCTCTTCCCCTTCCAGGCTACATAAGTTTCGGTCACAGGGTGGCACATATGTTGTGGGACATAACTTGCAGTTCATAATTACTGATCTTTAAAATATGTTGATCTTAAAGAAATCAGCAAAATAATTATAAGTGTAAACAAAATATTGAAACAATTATATACAACAAGTAATTTGGTTATCAAGAAGTTGGGCCAAAAGATAAATGTCCTTTTTTGAGGTGTTGAAATAATATTTTGGAACCACTTTTTCAACAACCGGGTCTGCATTTTGTCTCAGGTGCACACAACAAATGTATGTTTAGTATTTTGTGCATGGACTATTTTCAAATTCATGGCTGGAAAAGAAAATGTCCCATAATTGTAGAATAGCTCTTAAGCTGTTTTGGGGCAAGTGCCTGATGTTTAGGCGTTAGCCCACAGAGCTACATGCCCACCACTCACATGTAGGGGTCCAGTGTGGTACACAGAGGCACTGGTGCACATATTAAAACTGTGAATACACTGGCTGCACAAAATGTTTTATTTGTCCTGTACAAATCTATTCTGAATTTCTTGAATCATAACTTTGACATTATCATTAATACTAAAGACTTATTTTAACCAAGTCAAACGAAACCAAACCAAGCAAACTCACTGAAGCGGAAAACAAACATTAAAAACAAAATAAAAACAAAACTATAACAACCGATGCACAGCTCAGAAGAAGGGCATCACAGATTTTATTTATTAGATTATAAAACCCAAAGCTGTTGTAAATACATACAATTTATGAAGAGAATTTCAGTGTAACCGACATGTAAAGTGGTTAAAATGGCAGTGAGTCAATCAAACCTTTCCTGATTGAAGACATCGTGCAAATAAAATAAACTCAAGCAAAGATAATCTTGAAAATAATGGACATTAAAAACCATTAGAAATAAAATTCGAAGTACTTATTATAATGGAGGGGTGAGGTGGGGGCACTCATAAAAAGCCAGGCTATTGCCGGGTTGCCAAGGTAATGTATCTATGAAGCGCCTTGAGGCGACTTTTGTTGTGATTTGGGGCTATATAAATAAAATTGAATTAAATTGAATTGAATAGAATTGAATAGAAGTGTTTCCCTGTACTTCTTAAGTACAATCTAAAATCACAGCTACATTATAAATTATTTTTTATCTATTGTCTTCAACTATCAAAGCAACAGTGTTGCTGAAAACAACAAAGACTGTCAACTACAGTTTACTTTGAATGTCCTACAGAAACTTTCTTAGAAAGAAAAGATGGTCACTGCTTAGAACAACTGAAAGAGGGTAACACATACTCATATTTTACTGGTAACGATGTGGAAGTGAGTCAATGTGCTGTTCGCTGTACATTAAACGTGAAGATTTCAACAGCGTGTTAGTCACACCTGAACTTGGGAAACCTCTCAGTCGAGAAGCAGCACTCTGTATTGAGCTCGAAGCACTCCTTCCACCCCTGAGAACGATGTTAACATGTTAAAAAATCACTGTGGAATCACTTCATTTTTAATACTTTTGTCTCAGTTCTACACCCTGAAGGCTCTGTTCAGGCTGGATGGGATGCTATGGTGATATATTCAGCTTGTGTACTGGAAGCCTGAAATTATGTGGAACGATACTCCATCAGTTAATTCGATCTATACTGTAATATCACTACAGGGCAGTAAACAGGCTATAGGGCAGTGTTGTCATCCCAGGACAGTTTCTTTGAGGATCTGAACTAATATCCACCGCCTGCGAGGTCCAGCAGTGACCCGGCGGCCTCCTGGGCCTCAGCATCAAGCTGCAGGATCTCCACAGTCTCCAGGTCGAGCTCGGTGTCGTCCGGCAGCACAAGGTACTGGTACTGCTGAGACTCGTAATAGTGCAGCTCGATGTAGCCGCTGTCAGACAGGGGGTCCTTCTCCATGTCTTCGCACACCTCCTCCTGCTGGTATTCCACAGACTCCATGGTGACGAGCTCCTCGTGATCCGGGGTCAGAAGGCACAGCGGGTTTTCGGCTAAAATCGGACTATCGGCGGTAGACAGGAGGAGGGAGTGAGAAAGAGGATCTGCATGAGAAAGACAACGTTAACATTAATAACCCATCGTCCTGCAGCTTGGCCGAACAACCACTTGTGGGATTCTTTAGCGAGGACGTGGGCCCGTATGGCAAAGAGGCTCGGAAATAAAACGGAGGGGTGGGGTGGGGGCACTCATAAAAAGCCAGGCTATTGCTGGGTTGCCAAGGTAATGGAAGGCAGTTTCCATGAGAACAGAACACAAACACAGGAACAATGATGCATGCTGGGAAAGCTGCAAAGCTACAGACAAGCTGCAGGTGATAAAAGTGTCACAGAGGGCTGTTACTCTGCAGATAAAACGACTGAAACAATTTCATACCGGGTCCAGTATGTAGGTCCTGACCTGATATTTCCATCGAATCACACGCAGCAGGCATCTTGTAGCTTTCTCCCTCCAACCTGCGCACAACACACATCACAGCAAGAGAGCCATTAAAATGTAAAATTATTTAGAAACACTCCTCCACTAGACGCATATTAGATTTTACTGATGTGGTGGTTAAGGAGAGAAAGAAAAATAGCATGTACGACGACAGCTGTAGATGATATTTCATCTTACTTCTGCAATATATCAGTGAATATATTTGCCAATTTTTTAAAAAAGGCAAAAGATAGTGAAGGAATACCCAAATATTCAGTTTAATAAAGTCAGCGTTTTGCATCACCTTCAGTTCCAGTCAGAGGAGACTCCAGTGCAATGATTCATTTAGAGGTACAAAAAGACTGCATCAGCAATGACATGGAGACCAGAGGAGTTGAGAAAGGTTTAACCTGGGACCATTGTCACTCGAAGTCACTGAATGTCATGACTTCTCTGAAAACCACATTGCTGCGAGTCACTTCCTGTGTGGAAGCCCCTTAATGTTTCACCAGCACCGTGTTAAAAACTCATTAGAAAGGCAGCAAATCCTTAAGAGAGGTCGATGCCTGTAAATGTTTGCATATTTTTCTTTTTAAAATTGAAGATCCTTTACACATCAACTACCGTATCGTGCAAAAATATTGAGCCACCCTCAAATTGTTATTTTGCTTCCATGTAGCCGAATTTACTTTAATTTTTAAAATTAGTCTTGTCCAAAAGTTCTCGCAGCTCTCTGAACGTCTTTCAAAGTTTTTCTTTGGACACTGGCTGCCTTTTCAGTCACTCACACTCCAGGTTTTGTACCTGACCATTTTCAGAAGAATTTTTACGTTGACCTATGAATCATTCAAGCCTTAAAAAGTACCCATATTTCCATGTATGTCTGCACATATTTCAATATATCTCTGTCTGTATTTCCCCATTTTCAGAGTAAAATATAAAGAAAAGAAATGTGACTCATTTCTTGTTGAACACTTTGGATTTTCTGGCCGTTCCTCAGTATGGGGCACTAAAGCTAGTTTTTACAAATCCATATTGCAGATACTCACAGTGCAGGCTTGTGTAACAGGTTGCTGTTATTGCTGTGATAACTGTGGGTCTTCCTGAGCACTTCTAGGAGCGCTGGCCGGTACTCTGGACACACACACCACAGTGATCCCTTCCCCACTGACTGCAACAAAGAAACAAATCCATGTAACAGATGTTAGTCTTCAAAAATCCTGCACGAGTCATTTTTGGGAGTTGTAACCAATGTTTTGAATTCAGACCATCTGGATTCAATGAGGAGTTCACTTAGATCAATGAGTTTAGTGCTGCGCTGTTATTTAAGCACCCACCTGGCTCTTGTCCCTCTGAATGCGTCTGAAGCTCTTGCTCAGAGACAGATTGTGTCTGACAGAGTTCCTCCAGCCACCCGTTGCCGTCCTGTAGTAGGGGAAATTGTTCACAATCCATTCGTAGATGTCCTTCACTGGAAGCCTCTTTTGTGGCGAATCTTCTATTGCCATGAAAATCAGACTGCTAAAGGAGTACGGCGGCTTGGACGAAGCAGCGGGAAGAAGCTGGGAAGCCACGGAGGGCTCCTGCTGAGGCAGCGGTGTCATTTTGGTGAGGGGCTGCAGTGGCAGCAGATCCCCTCTTTGATGCAGCCAGTTGAGACAGGTGAGGTCATCTTGGTCAGCTAGGCTTTGTCCTTCGAGGCAATGAGACACTGTAAAGTGTGAAAGAGGGGAGCAGGAGTGAACAGACTCTGCTGTTGCTGGGGAAAATGAGGCTGGGGATGGCGGGAAAGAGATAGGCGAAAGTGGCAGTGAAATGCGACCATTTGAGGAGGTATGCTGGGGTGAGGAGGACAACGGCAGAGGCCCTCTGATAGTGGCGGGAGAGGGGCACGAGAGTGGCAGTGTATGAGAGCTGTTTTCCATCTCACTCTCAGGGCGAAGCTTCCAGGGTCATGCAGCTGAAAGATGAGGTTGAAATGAATCAGAGAGAGGAAAGATGAAGTCATCAAGATACAAATTGCTTCCAGGACAGGCAGGAACAGCAAGGACTGTACCTGTATTTATGAGTTGTTGTTTATTCTTTTCAGGTATAATATACCTGACTTTAACTGCTACCTCTTCATAGATGGAAAAAAAAAGCCAAACATACTAGATCACCACACACACAAACAAAAATATTGAAAATGCTGGAAAATAAGAGCTCCATAGCAGGTAAATGTTTGCCACCCGTTCCCCTCTGATGAGCATCCACTAAACGTCCAAAGTCCACTCCTACTGCTCCAGTTTAATAAAGGCAAACTGGGTCAGAGAACAAGTGCAGGTCCCAGAGAAAGTTACTGCTCATCCTAATCTACTGACCATGACCAGGATTATTAAACATTTAAAAAAACAAAACAAAACTAAGGCCAATAATACACGTATAGCATGTCTAATCTACTCTTATAAGGCTCTGGGGGTTTGTGTGTGAAGCCACATGGTTCTACAAAGCAGTTCAGCGGGGAAATGGCGGAACAATATAAAGTTTCATTTAGCTATTGTAGAAAGCCGCCTTTCCCCCCCTCACAGGTGACCCGCTCGGCGCTGTTAGCTAGTCTTTCAAACGTATAATATAAACTGGTTACTCACCAAATCACCAAAGCAGGGACTATGGTGGGAATTGCCTCCTCTTAAATGTCGATGTCGTTAAAAAAAAAAGTTAAAGGTGAAATCCTGATGTTCAGAAGTAGATTTTCATTCGGACACCTTTCACTCCGCTCTCTGTGGCGGTCCGTGGTTTCCATGGACACCATAAGGACGCTGTGCAGGGTGCGCGTATCCGGGCGCGTTCCCACAACATTTGGTCTGACACCAGCCACAGGCGGCAGACAAGGGATATTAAACATACGGTCCTGGGGCCAGAAACCGCTCGCCAAAGTGTTCAGTCCGGCCCACAGGATGGCTTTGAAACACGTGAAAATTACAGAGCAGAAGGACATACATTTTAAACTCCTGACTGTATTTTGCGGCTACAGATGAGTCATATAATAAGAGTCTGAACATCAGGAGCCAAGAGTCTGAAAAGTGGTTGTTTTACAGGTCTCTTACTGACAAAACCATCCCTTATAGCCTACCATACTACACCAATATATAAAACATTAAACAGGAAATCCATTCATCCATTCGCTTCCGCTTATCCTTTTCAGGGTCCCAGGGGGCGCTGGAGCCCATCCCAGCTGTCTTAGGGTGAGAGGCGGGGTACACTGGTTCTTTTTTATTATTCATTTGTAGAAATCATTCTAGCTTTATGTTTTATTGACTGGTATTTTTCATTTTTCATAGTTAATAATTACAAACTCAATAAGATTGTAAACACGGGCTGTAAGATTGGATGTTAGCAACTTTGGGAGTCATGAGTACTGAAAAACAGGTGAGACATCCTCAGAGATCCATCACAGCCTGTTCATGGTGGATTCACTTTACTACCATTAGCATGGAAGTACACGGTCCAACCTCTGCCAACATCTTGTGGCCAGGGGACTTGTAGTACAACTCTGTAAAACAAATCCAGGTGAGAGCATATGATGTAGTGTGATATGGGTGTCACTTACACATCGTCGTTTGCTTTTTGGTGATGTTACAGCAGAACTTTCTTGCCATTTATGTCTTTATTGTTGGTAACTGTGAGGTCTCTACTGTTGTGATTACATTTGATAAAAGGCACAAATGGAATTTCCAAAAGGACAAATAAATCTGAATCTAATGCCAACAATTACATTATATTACACTACTTGTCTCCATGTTCTGCACGGGCAGAATAACAGTGCTCTGGAATTTTAACATACTGAGGATATCTCAGGAATTTGTAGTTCAAACAACATTAGTTAGGTTTACTGTTATATAACATGCTAAATCTTGTGTAATTATTCATTTATGCATTAATGTCTTAGCAGCAATTTTCCAAATGCAGGTTTGGATGTTTTGAATCTGCAAATGTCAACCAAACACCCGGTTTAAGGTAAAACTAACTGCTGTACGGTTCAATTAGCACTAAATGGAAAGAGAAGGCAATTTCCTTCAGCTGCCCACTTCTTTACTGAGTGGACGCCACCGCAGCTGATACAAAATACTTGAGTACAATTCAAGTAACACCATTATAGTCAAGTGCATAATTGAGTTAATGAAGGTTAATTTAACCTCTAGTAAAATGAATGAATTCTAAATGTAGGCTATTACACCTTACATTGCATTTATACTGTTAAGACCTGAAGCAAAAAGCAAAAAGCAAAAAGAAGCAGTCTGAATTCAGTACACAAAGCTAAATATATTTATTTTTTCTAGAAAAATCCAAACATTGTCGTGCTTTGTCAAATGTAGATAAATAAAATAGAGGATTCAGAAGAAAGGGAGATAATGCAGCAGCATTACCGTTGAAACAAAATATGTTACTGGAATCATGTGTGCAACGTCAATACTGAAAAGCATGTTGCGAGCCTTCATACAAAAGTAGATCTGAACCATATCGGTTCTGATCAAGCAAATCTCTCAGTGAAAGCCCTTTTGTTCAAGGTTAGGTGGTGAAAAATAAGCGTCTGTCAGAGTTCTGTACAGTTACGGTGGACGAGACAATTTCCATTTCACACTTTCTTGTTAAATCAACAACAAGCTCAGTGCACGCTGCACTCAACACCATCTATGTATGCTTTGAGTTTAATGACAAAAAGAGCGTATAAAGGCAGGTATACAAACACTCACAACCACATTTTTTTTGGGGTCCACTACTCCTGGACTATAGGCTATTGAACACCTCACAGTCACCTGACCAAGTGAGAGGTTAACCAGTAAATAATGATTGGCTGAAAGAGCGCAGATGCGACAGTGATATAAAGACGGAGCTGAGGTTTGGCATTCGATCCCATTCCCATAGAGTCCGAGGACAGCGAGGGGAGGATCTTCATTTTCAGAGAGCGAACCTGTGGAAGAAGGAAAATCTTTAGAAGTACATAGATTGAAAGCAGATTCAGTCTGTGTCTAACAGCACGTCAAAGACAATACTTACCAATGTGTGATAGCAGCTTTAACCTTTATGCAAACTGATAGTATCTTTAATGAGTTTCTGCTGACTAATTCTCTGCATCAGCTGTTCCCATACTTTAAGTCTTTGCTACTACTATTACTCATTCAACTTTTGACATGAGTAGGGAATGACATGCAGCAAAAGGTCCCGGATTAGACTTGAAGGTAGCCTCCTGTATTGAGCCTTGCAGCATGCAGTCACCTGCTCAACTCAATAAGGCTAAACTGGCACCAGCTATTATTAATTCAAACATCAATACAGACCCAGAGCTTTACAATCAGTGTGCCACTAAAGTAAACACCCCATCACATGATAAACTGGAAAAACAACAAATATCTGAAAAATGTATGGATGTAAGGGCGGCACGGTGGTTAGCACTGTTGCCGCACAGTAAGAAGGTCCTGAGTTCAATTCCATCATCAGTGTGGAGTTTGCATGTTCTCCCCGTGTTTGCGTGGGTTCCCTCTGGGTACTCCGGCTTCCTCCCACCGTCCAAAAGACATGCAACTTGTGGGGATAGGTTAATTGGATAATCCAAATTGCCACTAGGTGTGAATGTGCGAGTGAATGAGAGTGCGAATGGTTGTCTGTCCCTGTGTGTTGGCCCTGCGACAGACTGGCGACCTGTCCAGGGTGTACCCCGCCTCTCGCCCTATGACAGCTGGGATAGGCTCCAGCGCCCCCCGCGACCCTGAAAAGGATAAGCGGAAGCGAATGGATGGATGTATACGCATGCTGCATGAATGTAAATGTTGGTTACTAATCTGCTTTTTCTTGCCTTTTCTGGGTATTGTTTCCTTTTTTCCATTAATTGTAGTTTTAGTGAGTTAAATGATAAAAACATAACTTTGAAAATATTTTTTAAAAGGGGCATGATTCGTTACCATTTATCATTCTCTTTTTAAAAGTGTGAGAAAAAGAAGCTACTCCTTCTGCATAGCTGGTTTCTTATTCACAGCGGTCACCATAGCGGGTAAGCACTGCATGTTTAATTTGGCAGTTTTTATGCCGGATGCCCTTCCTGATGCAACCCAATGGGATTTTTGTCTCCTCCTGGGATTGAACCGGGGCTCTTCTGCTTGTTAGGCAGTCCACCTGGAATTTTATTCAGCCCACTGCACGGCTTTGCAAAAAGAGAAAACGGCACGGGAGTGCACAAAATTTGAACTTTGTACTGTCTTTTGTGCCTAAGTATCGGTGAAGTAAGAGACAATTAAACAACACAGGAAAAAGGAACAAGAAATAAAATAAGGGCATTTTTTTTTCTTTTAAAAAAAAAAAAAAGATTAGCAGACAATAGGTGTAGCAGTGTGACTCACTTTACAGTCTGGGCCAGGAAATCAATTAAACACAACTCATTTAGACTGACGAAATGTAAATACTCCAGTCCATCAAACTTATAAACTTTAGATTTGAAGGATGCCGTCAATACAGACTGAAAATACTCACAATGAAGAACATGAGCGCAAAGGAGGACCAGGCAAGTGCCACAAAATAGCCATCACTGCCAAACAGCAAGCCACACAACACTGTGAAGATCATCCTGGACGAAGACATAAACAGACACATTCCCTCAGTAAATTCAGCATGATTTATTTAAAAACAATACATGACTGGAAGAAGCTTTCGCAAATAATTTCTAAATAATAAAGAATCATTTTGCAAATATATGTGCATCTGTGATTTATTTACCCAACATATTTGTATCCACTGTAGGCGATGAGATCAAAGGTGGAGAGGTCGGTGTGTACTGTCAGCAGATATAAACTCAGCAACATCACCAAGACCTCGATGATGACCCACACGAGGGCAGTGCTGGCACACAGGCCGAGGACCTCTGGACTGAACCTGCACACAAAGTCAACATTTGGCTTATCTCACATACACCGATTCTCTGTGAGTCATAAAACAAATGAGTGGAAGAAAGATTAGTCACCTTTTTTGAATGCCAAGAGCCATTCCAGCAAGTAAAATGTAGGTGATAAAAGCCATCGCTAAAAGATTTGAATAACAAACAAACAAAAAAAAAAAAACCCCACTTAATATGTTACACAAACATCCCAAAACATTATGCCTGGAATGATTTTGTGTGTACATGAAACTGACTTGGTATGTAAAGGTCTGATGCATTCACATCCTGTCTTGGAGTCAGTGGAGTGTCGCGATGATAACGAACTTCCCAATCCTGCCAAGAAACACAAATACAAAACACAAATACGACATGAATCACCCTCAGAGAACAAAAAAATTTAGGTCCAAGTCAGCTTGTTTTAATTACAAGGAAAGCAGAGCACTGCAGCTTTTTAAAATTGACAATCGAGCAGTAGTAGGCCAGTTTTAGCTCAGCATTTGCAGCAGCAGGATGATGTCCAAAGTGAACTTTAATCCGCTGTTAACCACAGACATTAAAAAGTAGAGACAATACACTCAAAGACTCCTGAATGGAAATTTTTATGGGAATGCCTTAACCTCAAAAGCCAAATCTTTTGGTTTATAACAGCCAAATTGAGACACCTTTGTGTTGTTGCAGTGAAACACCTCCCCAAAAGGTTCTAACTGTGCAAGAGACTTCTATTCTTTATCATAGTAAAGACTTCTAATCTACTGATTTATGCACATGAATAGCGTTTTCCCACCCTTGCATTTGTGCTCTTAAATACCTTTTTCATCTGTCCAGTTTCACATGTACTGACTCATGCCCATATTTGCATTGGATGGACTGATGGAGTGCATCATTTTGCCTCTCTAAACAAAAAGTTCATTTCCAGCAATAGAAAATGATGGCATTTTATGTTTCCTTAGGATTATTTTTAGCACATTCTTAATTCAAAATGACGATTTTATGTTTAGGATTATAAACGATTCAATTAGGTTTGTTCATGGACAACAACTTGGTTAGGTTCATAAAAAGCTCTGGGTTCAAATACAGTGGTTGCCATATCTTTTAAAACTTTTTGTGGTTGTCAGGGTGACACATAAAAGCTGATATACGTATTGAAGACACAAACTTCTTACCAAAGTATAGCAATTTCAATTCATGTTGACCATTGTGAAAAACAAACAGATGTGTGTCTGTGAACACAAACAAATGGAATTGCCAGTCTGTGTACATATGTTTTTAGAGGGCACTCTATATGGAATAACCTGAAAATG